TGGACTGAAATTTGTTGGTCTGGTCTGGTCTAGTCTGAACTGGTCTGGTATGGTCTGGTAAACGCTTGATCTCTGTGTATTTTATAACTACGGAAGTCAAGTCAAGTCTGGTCTGGGACTCAAAATAGTCCAAAAGAAAACATCCTAAATGGTCAAACTAATGTCACTAAATGTCAACTTTTTAATAAGTCGAATCAATATGTCTCATGTTGTAATACAAGTCCTTTCGGGGACATCCGATAAAATTGGAACGATACAGAGAGGATGACACACACAAATCGAGAAATACAAGTACCCTGAAAAAAGAAATAGAGATAACCATAAATACCAACTATATGTCTGTTTAATTTCACTCACTAAACACGATATTAATTGAACACATCCTTTTGCATATTTCTTCTTTTCCTTGCTCAACCTTCTGCTGATGTAGTCAATTAACTCTAAACTCATTCTCTTTCGGAACATTTCCATGTTCTCAGCTGCCAGTTCACAGAAGTCCATCTCCATCATTAAGAACTCTGCAATTTTTAGTAGAAACATTCCACAATTTACCCTACAACAAACACCCTTGGTGTTAGTTTTTTCATAGAGGCTATTTTATATTGCTAAGTTATTAATTCTTTTACTTACATTGAGTTGTGTTGTGTGCATTCGTCATCACCTTCGATAAGAATTCTAGCTTCTTTCTCCCATTGGTTCTTCATCCATTGCTTCATACACAATGTGAGGTAGCATTTTTTGAATGCAATCTTTTTCTTTTCATTTAGACCCAGTCATATTGATCCTGAATTCTTCTCTCTTATAGTTATTCTTCTCCTATAACTTTTTTATATATATGAAAATCAAACGGAAGTTAATTTCTTTATTTTCCTTCTCAATTATATATTAAATTAATCCTATATCCAATAGAAGTGTCTCATATGAAAAATTATTACATCTATCACATATAATTCTGGTTGGATATCTCCTCCACTGTTTTTACCGCCATTGGCATCCATGCTTTTTTCTTGATCATTCATCTTCTTGTCTTATAATAATTGAACATGTGATAAGTGGAAACCAAATAACAAAACAAATTTAGACTTAATTAATTTATGATTACTAAATCGCTATTTTGCTTTATGTCCTCTTCATCTTCACTACTTCCTCTTTCATCTGTCTATGTAGGCATATCTAATACTGGTATGTCAAAACCAGGTCAATTACAAGGTGTGAGAATGCCTACATCTTATGCAGCTTCCTCATGGATGTGTTGACCTTGCTTTTCTTTATTGTGTGCTTCAGTATCATCTTGGTCATTGTCATATGCCTTGTGTGTTGACTTCCTCGTTGTTCATGACATTTTCGCTCTCTTTTTCCATTTCATAGCCAACCTTGTTTCCCTCTTCAGCTTCAAATGTCTTTCCTTCTTTATTAGTAATCTCCCCCATCTTCTAAAAAAATGCTTCTAGGAACAATTTTGAGTATTCAGGAGTACTTATGTTTGTCCATCCAAACACTCCAATATGCCTCTGCTTCCTGAAGAAGCAAATGCAGTTTTAAGAAATAAATCCAAACACCCCCATAGCCCGCCCCCTATCTATAAATTAAACGACCTCAACAACATATACATGTTTCATTCTTTTGCCATAGGTTTTTTAGGATAGTCGTCAATAGGTCTTCTATTTGTTCATTATAAACCATTGGCTGACTATATAATCTTATATTCAAAAGTTCTATAATGCTAATGTAGTTACTATAATATAATCCCTCTATCCATTATAACTTTATCAAATTTGATCGGTATGAACAATAATAAAGTAAAAATTGTGTGATTCATGTTTGTGGAGAGGATAAAATGATAGTAACCACAAATTAGATGATTAAAAAGGAAACTGACAAAATTTTTGGGACAATTAAAAAAAGAAAGATGAAAAAGTTATGAGGGGCGGAAGTAGTATGTGTTTAAGTAATATTTTGAGATAAAACGGGTTTGTAGGACAAATGATCAAAGACCATAGGAATGAGAAGGGTGAGTTCATATACTGCGGGGGTATTGTTGTGGTGAAAAGGGAGGTTATCCCCATTGGAGGCTGAACTATTGGGCATTATAGAGGCTCTCATCTGGGTGAAGAAGCAAGCAGGGTTGGGACTCGGTGGATGTGGAATTAGATGCTTTTCGGGCAATCTCGGAGATTAAAAAAGGCACTAGTTCTTTGCCGGGCTTGATGGCGAATGATATTAGAGATCGATATCCAATCAAGTTTTTGTGACATCGATATCTTTTTCACATGTAATAAGGCGATCTGCGAATAGGGCGGCTCATGAATTAAAAACAAGTCACGTGTTCTATGTCTGATCGTCATATTTGATTTTCTATTATATTTCTCCTGATTTTATTGTCATCTTCTAAGCACTGATTATATTAGTGATAATTGAGTTTCTTGTTGCAAAAATCATGTTATTTATTTAACATATCGAGGAATTTTCTCAAACTTGAAATAATAAAAGAAACACTTCAATTCAATCTTTATTTATTTAATTTTAATTATAAACTCATACTCTCAAATAGATTTTGTTTGGGTGAATTGTAAGTATATACAAGAAACCATCCGAAGGAGTTTAATAGTACAACAAAAAGGTGAGCAAAACTGTATGTAGGCTATCGAAAGATTGGATAACTCATCACCTGCAAAACTAAGATGATCTTAGCAACCTAAGCTACCTCACGGCCAATCACATCAAAAAATAGGTGATGGGCATAATGTTTTCAAAATACAATCAAATCATGTGGATAGATGCTATAAAAAACTTTGTACATAATGTACTTTAATTTATCCTTGCAAAAACTTCCTCTTCCTTTCGAGTCACCCCATCAAATAGATTTTAATTAGACTAGGAGTCACCAATGTCCTCATTCAGTCAACTCATTATGGAACACATTTCACTTTCTCATCACCCTCTCATGTCTTGACCATACTTTATTATATGTACATGCGAAGAAAGTAAAATTGACAAGTTTTACACTTAGTAAATTATTTTGAATTGAAAAAATATTTGGTAAGTCGATTTTAATTTATCAATAACTAAAATTAGGTTACAAATTTGGTCTTAACAAATAACCCATGAACAACTTTTTGAATAGGTTATGAAAGAAATCTCAAGAAGATCCTTTCAAGAAGAATTATTTGAAAAAACTATCGAAGGGATCTAATAGATTCTTGCTAAAAAAGGCCTGAAACACCTTCAGAAGAGATTCCAAAACACTATAAAACTATTTATGTAAAATCTTTTTGTACTTTGATGATTACTTTTAGATTTGGGTTCATGAGATATCTTAGTTGCGCCGTGGTGATAGCATAGAGAAGCGACCTATTGAGCATGTCAAAAACTCAAAACTCTGATAACACGATGATGATATGTACTCGAGTACATATCATTTAGGGATAAGGTACAAATATACCCCTGCAGTGTGCGTGTGAGAACAAATATACACTTTTTCTATTTTTCGTAACAAAAATACCCTTGAAGTATATGTTGAAGTGCATATATACCCTTGAACTTTTAAAAACTGCAAAAATACCCCTCATTTTCTTATAAAAGTGCAAATTTACTCTTATTGACTTTAAATATATAAAATAAATTTCAAAAAACACAAAAAATACATTATAAATTTGAAATTTAAAATAAAGATTTATTATTATGTTAAAATATTAACTCTTTAATTTTAAATTGCAAAAGAATTGTTTTCTATTGTAAATGGCGTACTTCAAATTCATTAATTTTAATTTTAGTCTTGTTGCGAAATTTAAACACATTGTTACATTTTTTGAAATAACATTCTTTGATTTTGTTTAACCTTAATAAAATTAAGTTCACTAATTTTGTAATCTTGGGCTATTTATCATCATACAAAATATGTAATTTTTATAGTGCAAAGAATGCAAAAAATCAATTTTTTTTACATTGTAACACATATGTTAACATTTTTTCGAAAGAATCTTAAACATATAGTAATGTTATGAAATGATATTTTATACTAAAAATATTAAATTATGATATTCAAACAATAGAATCGAGAATTGGACATAAGTACTATTTTAAATTTTTTAATGTTTTTTTTTGGTATTTTTTGAAATATATTTTATCAATTTAAAGTCAATAAGGGTAAATTTGCTCTTTTCTAAGAATAGGGGTATTTTTTCACTTTTTAAAAGTCCAGGGGCATATATGCATTTCTACATATATTTCAGGTGTATATTTGTTCCGAAAAATAAAACAATGATATATTTGTTCTCACACCCATATTACAGGGGTATATTTGTACCTTTTCCCTATCATTTATTATATCCTTTGAGATAATAGTCGTTGTTTTTATGATGACATTTGATTGAAAAAAGTGGTATCATATTTAAAAAACTTGAGTGACATAACTTTGAATTGTCAGTAGGGGCGGCCCTAAGGACAATAGGGGCGGAGGCCCTGGGACCATAAAAATGAATTATTTAGGCTTGATAATCAAGTTTTATTATAGGTACGAGTAGGATTATTTTCAGTCTTTTTAATATTGGATCAGTTTTATCCGCCCCCCAAATGTCCAGCCTAAGAAAAGAATCATATTACTACATATTCCCTCTGTCCCTTAAAAATTTATCATCTTTCTTTTTTTCATCCCAAAATCATTGACACTTTTGCTTTTGATCAATCAACTTATGGTTCATATCATTTCTTTTCTTTCTAGGCAAACATTAATCATTTTTTTTAAAGTTAAATCATACGTACTCCGTATCTTTTTTACTTCTTCCGTCCCGCTATGATTGTCCCATTTTACCTTTTTGGTCCGTCTCACTAAGATTGTCTCATACCAAATTCGGTAAAGTTGTGTTGATCTAAATCATTCTAACTTTATTCTTACTTTATCAATTAAATATCAATCATATAAATCACTTTTTATTAATTTGTGTGTTCAGTCCCTCTTGTTCCCTTCTTAGGGGAAAGTAATTCATTATTTTCCGCTTTAGTCAAATGGAGGTCTGACTTGAGAAGGATCGGAGTACTATTTACGGACTAATTTGGAAACAAGCCGCCTAGAGCAGGTTTTCCTTATTCGACATCGGCAAACTGTCGAACTCACGAAGACACGAACGGCAACGGCCCACGCCGCATAACGCCGCCGCCCTGCCCCTTCTTAGTGTTGCCAAAGCTTAAGTTCTTCCACTCTTTCGTCTCTTCAGCCTCTTCTCAATTCTCACATTCTTCTGGTCTGCCCTTCCAGTATGAAGTATGCCTATTAATCCTCTTTAACTCTATGATTGATTACTTGATTCACTTCCTACCGATTGATAAATGATTAGTTTATTACTTAATTTTTATTAATGACTAGTTGATTTGTTGTCTTTTGATCGTTTTATACGATAGCATATGTTGAATTTTTCTGCCTTATTGTTGTTGTCCTAAGTAGATTACTTCATCATTTTTTTACGTTGTCTTTAATTAGTTGACTAGTCCATAATTTTTTGATAGTGATTAGTAATAGTGTAATTAATACTTTAAAGGAAAGTTCCCGAAATAGGACTAAAACAGTTTGAAAATTCCAAAATAGGACTGCCATGTTTTTTATTCCTAAAATAGGAGTAATTACTGCCAAGTTTGGAAAATAATGCCATGTTTGAAGTCTGGTACTGCCAAAATATAGCAGTAATTAAACCTATTTTGGGAATAAAAACATGTCAGTCCTATTTTGGAATTTTCAAACCTTTTTAGTCCTATTTTGGGTAAATTCTCATACTTTAATTAGGTTTCCAGAACTCCTATTGTTATATATATGACATCTAGGCTACTACATTGGGTATGCCTTTCCATTATTTTCACATGGCATCAGAGCCGATTCCGGATGTGGTTTGACGGCTTGTTTAGCACCCATGATTAAGGGTAGCTTGTTAAGGGTTTGTTTGGCCCGTTTATACACCCCGATATTGTCCAGCCCCGTTCGGGCTGAAGGTGCGTGTTAAAGCATTTGTCCCACACCGAAAAGCTATAAAAAACAATTAAACACTATATAAGACTTTGGGCTACTCCTCCTATCAGGTTGACCTTTTAGGATGAAACCCCAGGTCTTAACACGGTATCAAGAGCACTGGGGTTTTAGACACAATTTTTTTCCGATGTCTATCTCATCTACGTCTGCCGCCGCCACCACTTCGGCCTCCGGCAACACCGCCGCGATGGAACCTGCATCCGAAGCTCCGGTTTTGAGCGCGGCAGAACAGGCTGTCCCTCCTTCAGCGCCGCTGCAGTCCGAACTCGTCCACCCCGACGTTTCGATCTCGCCGCTGCAGTCTACCTGGGTCCCGCCGCTGTTCACTTGGACGCCGAACCCACCTTCGATCCAACCGTTTCCTCTGTTCTCCGGGGACTCTCACGGTGAGTCCAGCAGCGCCACCGCCGCCGTCCATGCGCGCTTCGGCGGTTCCACCTTCACCGGCAACCCAGGCCTTCAACCTCCTCCCGCTCACGAGCCCGTAGGCACCCGACCTGCTGCCTCGGCCATTCCCACGCCGTTTGCCTCTTTGACTCAAGGAATGATTTTTGCTCGTGTGTTACTCAAATTGTCACAACTAAATTATTAGCGGTTGAGGATTACTTGCCTTGGCGCACACAATTTGAATCCTTTTTGGTTGCGAACGGTCTCTTGGGCATCATTGATGGATCTTCTCCGGCTCCTCCGATCCGCTTTTACCTATGATTTATATCAGGCTCCTACAATGAATCCTGAATATTATCATTGGTTAAAGCTTGATCAAACTGTTCGGGCTTGGCTCTTTGCTACATTATCTCGAGAAGTACTGATGGAAGTTCATACTCTTAATAATTCAAGTGCTATTTGGCAAAAATTGGAGTCTCGATTTATGGCAGCCAGCCTTGCTCACTCAATGGAGTTAAAACATATGTTATCTCATACAAAAAAGAAGGCTAATCAATCCATGGTAGAGTATGTTCGTGGCATTCAGACGATTGCAGACAATCTGGCTTCGATTAATTCCTCGGTTTCTGATTCTGATATTTTACAACATACACTTTATGGATTAGGACCGGGTTATGAATCGCTTGTCAGACCACTTACACTCTTCCCCAAAGGACTCACTTTTGATAAATTATGTACCAAATTGGTTCAGCAAGAGGCACGCTTACAATATCAACAAACTTCGGAGTCCTCGGTTGGTGCACCTGCTTTTGCGGCCAACACCTCGGCAGGTGGTGTTCCAGCCAATGGTTCAGCCGTTGCTAATGCTCCGGGTCAGCAGCAGCCCTATCGAGGGGGGCGTGGAGGCCGCCGCGGTAATCAAGGTCGCGAACGGGGTCGAGGCTGCCACCACCACCAGCCACCGGCGTACGGGAAACAGCAGCAGACCTACAGCCAGCAGCCCCAGTTCTTCGGCCAGCGAGCCCCCTACCCGCATCATCATTCTTCCGGACGAGGGCAGCACCACAACTCTTCTTTGGGTCAACCGGGTACAGTTTTTTGTAATTCAGTTGCGTCATCATTTTATACTACTGCATTATCTACTTTTTGTACTAACAATGGTTATGCAGGATTCCCGTCTTTTGAGAATAATTTTAGTTCAGTACCACCACACGTTGTCTGACAAATCTGTCACTCTCCAGGTCATTCTGCTGTGTCATGTCCTTCTCGTTTTGCTCAATCTCCTACTCCCGCATTAGCTGTCCCTACTGGTGAATCCACTCCGGCTGTCTGGTATCCTGACTCTGGCGCTTCCGCTCATATGACCGCTAATGAAGATATTTTAGTTAATAAATCTGTTTATTCTGGACCACTGTCTATTACGGTTGCGAATGGCTCTACCTTACCGGTTATGACTATAGGTGACTTGCATTTGTCCACTCCGCCCCGGTCTCTCCATTTAAAATATGTCTATCATGTTCCTCATCTTAAATATAATTTACTATCCATTCAAAAATTATGTGCCGATAATAATTGTTTTGTGGTTTTTGATAAAAACTCTGTTTGTGTTAAGGACAAAATTTCGGGGAAGGTGCTTCTTCAAGCTTTCAGTAATGGTGGTGTCTACCCTATATCCCTTTCTGCTTGTTCGCGTGTTGCTCTCGCCTCACATGTTGCCCCTGGATCTGTCTGGCATCGTCGGTTGGGACACTGTGGCAGTCGTATTTTAGATAGGCTTTGGAAGTCTGGGACTATTCTTAGTACTTTTAATTTTTCCCATGATTGTATTTCTTGTCGCTTAGGAAAATCACAACGTTTACCTTTTCAAGAAGTTTGACATAAATCTGCTACTCCTTTATTTTTAATACATTCGGATGTTTGGCAATCTCCTGTTTTGTCTACAAGTGGCTTTAAATATTATGTTTTATTTATTGATGACTTTTCCCGTTTTACTTGGCTTTATCCTATGCGCCATAAAAGTGAAGTTGTTAGCCATTTTCGAAATTTTAAACTAATGGTGGAAAATTTATTCAACACTCGAATTAAAATTTTTCAAAGTGATGGAGGGGGTGAGTTTGATAATTATGGTATGCGTGAAATCTTTCTTAACAATGACATTTTGTTTCGGAAATCTTGTCCTGACACTCCTGAACAAAATCGCATCGCTGAACGAAAACATAAGCATCTGCTTGAACTAACTCGTACTATGCTTCTTGAGGCAAAAATGCCAGCTAGTTTTTGGGTAGATGCTGTGTTTACCGCTACCTATATTGTCAATCGTCTCCCCACTCCGAATCTGAATGGTGCTTCTCCGTTTGAAAATTTATTTCACCACTCTCCTGACTTCTCTTTTATGCGTGTATTTGGTTGTGCCTGTTTTCCCAACTTTATTGCCGCTTCAGCAAATAAATTATCTCCGAGATTATCTCCGAGATCTATTTTGTGTGTCTTTTTGGGATTTGCCCCTGAGTACAAAGGTTATCGTTGCTTAGATCCTATTGGAGACAAGATTTACGTCAATAGGAATGTTCAGTTTTATGAAGATATTTTTCCATATTCCGACCTAATTTCATCTCCAAAAACTGCTGCACTACCACAAGTGTCACCGACTAACACTGTTCGGCTTCATGAGAGTGTTTTTTCCGCCTCCCTACCTGCTCCTACCACTTCGGCCAACCCTCCAGCCACCTGCAATCCCTCCAAGCCACCTGCAATCCCTCCAGCTCCCTTCATCTGATAGTCCAGCCCCAGCCCGCCCTCAACCCTTTCAATCTGAGGCACCCTATGACCCTGACCTCCTCCACACTCCTAGTCGGCTACCGTTCCCTGCTACCCCAACCTCCTCTGCCATCTGCCCGTCCCCTTCCACGATCACCACACCACCATATGTTCCAGCCGTGACCGAGAAACTCCCTTCACCACTGGCACCTTCACCGACTGCATCTTCCCCGGTCAACTGTCATCCAATGCAAACTAGAGCTAAATCTGGCATTTTTAAACCAAAAACTATTTTTAATCTCAAAACAGATATTTCGGCATGTGATCCATCTTGTTTTTCTATGGCTAATAAGGATGTTAAGTGGAGAGAGGCTATGGCGGAGGAATTTAATGCACTCATTGATAATCATAATTGGGATTTAGTTCCATTTAATCCTCGTAAAAATGTGGTCGGATCTAAATGGATTTATAAAACTAAATTTAATTCTGATGGGTTTGTTGAGAGGTATAAGGCTCGTTTGGTAGCTCAAGGATTTACTCAACAAGCTGGTGTGGATTTTTCTGAGACTTTTAGTCTCGTTGTTAAGCCCACTACTGTTCGTATTGTTTTATCTCTTGCTATTTCGTTTAATTGGGCTATTCGTCAGTTAGATGTTAAAAATGCATTTTTACATGGCAATCTGACTGAAGAAGTTTATATGCGTCAGCCTCCTGGTTTAATTGGGCTATTCGTTTTGTCATCTCCGCAAAGCTATTTATGGCCTCAAACAGGCTCCTCGTGCCTGGTTTCACAGATTTAGTAGTTTTTTGCTGACGCATGACTTTGTCTGTAGTAAGTCTGATAATTCTTTGTTTATATATCGACATGGCTCCTCAGTTATTTATCTTCTCTTATATGTCGATGATATTATTGTTACTGCTAATTCCTCATCCTTTATTTCCACATTTATTTCCTGTCTTGGCCGATGCTTTGCTATGAAGGATTTGGGGGATTTACATTTTTTCCTAGGTGTCCAAGCTGTTCGAGTGAAGTCTAGCTTATTTTTATCTCACCAAAATATGTGTCTGATCTTCTCACCAGATTTCATCTTCACACTCTTAATCCTGTTCGTACCCCTCTTGCTACGCGAATTAAACTTTCTCTCACCGATGGGGATCTCCTAGCAGATCCGTCTGAGTATAGAAGTGTGGTAGGTGCTTTACAGTATTTAACTATGACTCGACCTGATATTACATTTGTTGTTCACTTGGTTTCCCAGTTTATGCATGCACCCCGTACACCTCATCTTTTGGCTGTTAAGAGAATTTTCAGGTATTTGCAAGGGTCTATTTCGCATGGATTACTGCTTCGGTCGAGCACAGCATCTCCTACCATATAGGCTTACTCGGATGCTGATTGGGCAGGTTGTCCTGATAGTAGCGGTCCACCTCTGGCTTTGCTATTTTTCTTGGTCCTAATTTGATTTCTTGGAAGGCCAAGAAGCAGTCTAGTGTGCCTCGTTCTTCTACAGAGGCGGAGTATAGGGCCATTGCTTACACTGTCTGGATACTCTGCATATATGTTCCATTTTGTTTGAGTTGGGCTTTCCTGTTCGTGCACCGGTCACACTCATGTGTGATAATATATCTGCATCTTATTTTGTCAGCAAATCATATTCAGCATGCCCACAGTAAGCATATCAACATTGATTACCATTTTGTTCGTGAGTGAGTTTCCCATGGAGATCTTGTTGTCCGACATGTTCCTACACAGTTTCAGCTCGCGGATATTCTTACCAAGAGTTTATCTCCGCAGCGTTTTATTTTTCTTAGGGACAATCTGCGCATTATTTCCCCTGCACAGCTTGAGGGGGTGTAACAGTGTAATTAATACTTTAATTAGCTTTCCATATTTATTTAGTTTCCTGATGTACTCAGAACTCCTATTATTATATATATGACATCTAGGATAACATATTGGGTATGCCTTTCCATTATTTTCACAATTAGGTCATAGTTGTTGTCTTTCGAATTCTGGGTAATTAGTAATTCTTTGTTATTTAAATAAATTTAGATTTTGTGTTAGTGTTATAATTTGATTTATCTGCCATCACCTATGTCTCATGAAAAGCTTAATGAATCAGCAATATTAAGCATTGAACATAATATGCTAGAAAAACATGACTATGAATCTACCATTGATGATCTCGCTTCAGAATACTCAAGGAGAAATGTATCTAAGTATTTTTTTAAATATTTTGATACCGATTCTACTATTTTTGATTTAATAAATTTAAGTCTTTTCTTTATTATAAAGGTCTTGAAATATTATTATTATTATACCTCTTATTTTAGATAGAAAAGGGGTTTCCAAGTTTTTTTAAAGACTACTTCTTTTGTATATATTTAGATTAGGCCCTTTGTAAATTATCTTCCCTTAGGCCTTTAAACCGATAGGACCGACCCTAGACTTATGCCAAATAAAAAGAATAGCCGATCGAAATGCAATAAATAGAACAATTTGTGAAGTAATTGACAAGTTCACATAATAAGTAAAAGCAGTAGAGTCTAGAATCAATTAAACGAGAAATTGGCACTTGAGGCGAGAAGGAGCATTGACTGCGTGACTGCTCAAGCAATCCCGGTCAGATTTGCTTATGAAGACTAAAAAGACTTAAGAAATACCTCGTATTAATTGTATGTCATATGGATATTAAGTTGATAATTACATACGTTCGCCCGACCTCAAACTTTTGATGAATAATAATAGTGTTATTAACCTTATTATTAGTGTTGTCCTCTAAATAAATACCCAAATGCCTAGAAGCCGCCCCAAAAGCTGGCTCTGCAAATATGTTATCATTTGTTGTATCTTTCACAATTAAAAGAGTACGTCTTCATTTAGTTGATTGTATCAAGACATCTTCAGGATAATAAGTACAAACTGGTAAGTAAACAGGTAACACTTGATTAACTTTGTATACGTATAAACAATTGGAAGATTCATTAGTTTCTTGATCAACATGAATGCCCAACCAATGAATGCAGAAGCATCACGTCATGTATGGAACCATATACTTTTGAATTTCAGGGGGGGTTATTCCCAGGTGAAATCCAGGCACCTTGAAAAACTTAATCTTTTTAGCTTTATCTAAGGTTTGCAATCCAAAGAGGTCCTTTTTGTAAACATCAGTCTGCAAGACAAAACAACCAAACGTCTTTTTACCTCAAAACATTAGTCACCAAGGAACATATGAGCTATGTAAAACGTGTAGTTGGCACTTTGGTAGCCATTTCTTTGATCTATTAAGTCAAAGTTTTTATATAGGCCTTTTTTTAAAGCCATTATAGTGATAATTAGTCCTATCACACATAAAAAATACAAACTAACATATAAAGCATTTCCTTCTATTTAACTTTTAGTACTAAACCCCAAACTTTTCATATAGTCAACACACATTTTTTTGTTTAAAATTAAAAAATTGAAGTTACATGTGTAAGGCCAAATTCATCTTTTCTTTTCATTTGTATATTTCTTTATTGTATCAATAAAATAGAATTAATGCCGATTTAGTTCCCTACTCAATACTTTCACTCAGAATTTCAATAAATTAAATAGATTAAACCATTAATCAATGTTAAATCTTACTATTTACCTACCTGTTGCATAGGCACTGCTTTGGAGAAATCCCCATTTGGATAATAGCCGAACCAGGAACTTTCTTGTGGCAGGATAATAGTGTCGGCTTGAAACTGCAACACACAAAATGCAACTACTATTTATGATACACATGGGGAAACTTATGGTTACTAGACTTTACTTTTAAGAGTTAACCTTTTTAATAGTCTTCCCGCCCATTGAAACATTGGGTGAATCATATTTACTCCCTCCCTCTCTCTTAAATTAATTTCTCTAATTCTATGAGCGATTGAAACAAAGCTCTGGGTGGCATCTTCATCTACATCTATAGAGGACATGAATGCAAGAATGACACTCTGACAGTGAAGAATTGGATGTGAGGAAAAAGGTTCTATTTCCATAGTGACCTCAACTCCGTGAGCGGCAATGAGATGCATTCTGAGCGAACAGTGACCTTGTAACGGCAGTGATGTCAATTTTAACTTTTCCGTGATAGAATGGCTTACAAACAGAGACCTTGTAGGGGTGTAACTATCAAAGCTATCTCTTTCAATTCTATCATGAGATCGATATAGCTATTGTCATCAATGAGGGCCCACGGTTTTATGGACTTCAACTACTAATGATCTAGAGGTTGTGCTTGATGGATAAACCTCTTGAGATGCTGTTGACCCATGCTAATTTTTGGGTTCAAACACACAATATGCCGATGTCATATATGATTGAAGATATTGCTACTATGGCAGGACGAGCTATAGGAAGACTGCTGATTGTGGATAAGAGTAATTTTAAAGTGGATGGAAGCCTTTTCTGAGGGTATGTGTGGCCATGTGGGTATTGATGTACTGAGACCATTGAGGAGATGAATGAAAATATCAAATGGGGATACATGGTTTTAGTTAGATTTTAAGTATGAGAGGCAATGAATTTTTTGTCTCATTTGTGGTCAGATGGGTCACTCTGATCTCTATTGTCTGGTACAAATTAAAGAAGGTCGGCATCATGCTAAAGGTGGGTGGCTATAGAAAGTAGTCCTCGGGTAGCCGTTGGCTAGTTGCAGACAATGGAGGTGAATTCGACACTGAAATATGTCATGAACATATCGAGAACCTCATTGGGGTATCCTGTTGTTTTAGTAACGAGGGTGCAGAATCAGGGAGTGGATAGCATCCATCAAGGAGGCCAAGCTATGATTGGAGGGAGAAGAGAATCATGAGGGGTTTTGAGGGCGAAGTTACACACAATATGCCAATGTCATATATGATTGAAGATATTGCTACTATGGCAGGACGAGCTATAGGAAGACTGCTGATTGTGGATAAGAGTAATTTTAAAGTGGATGGAAGCCTTTTCTGAGGGTATGTGTGGCCATGTGGGTATTGATGTACTGAGACCATTGAGGAGATGACTGAAAATATCAAATGGGGATACATGGTTTTAGTTAGATTTTAAGTATGAGAGGCTATGAATTTTTTGTCTCATTTGTGGTCAGATGGGTCACTCTGATCTCTATTGTCTGGTACAAATTGAAGAAGGTCGGCATCATGCTAAAGGTGGGTGGCTATAGAAAGTAGTCCTCGGGTAGCCGTTGGCTAGTTGCAGACAATAGAGGTGAATTCGACACTGAAATATGTCATGAACATATAGAGAACCTCATTGGGGTATCCTGTTGTTTTAGTAACGAGGGTGCAGAATCAGGGAGTGGATAGCATCCATCAAGGAGACCAAGCTATGGTTGGAGGGAGAAGAGAATCATGAGGGGTTTTGAGGGCGACGTTACACTATCGGGGTGGGGGAGAGAGTAGGGTGATGGAAGGGGTAATGGGGAGCACAAGGTGGGGGAGCGATCAATCGAAGAAGAGGAAGGTTTCTAGTAGAAAAGAGGACTAGGAGGTTTGTGAGTCCTTAAACGTAGTGTCAAAAAACAAAATGAAGTTAGAACTGTTGGCGGCTTAGCAACCACTTGACAGTTCAAGTTCTAGTGGACTTTATTCACTCAAAGAGGCCGTCACAACTTTTTCTAATGGAGACACTTGCACAAAAGTTCTAGGTTGAGGATATCCACAAGAGGATGAGCTATAAAAACTGTATTGTAATGAAATGTAAGATCATAGAGGAGGATTGACATTATTTTAAAGGGAAGGGGTGGAGGTAGAAATTCTTGGTTCGGTGAATCCTTCATTGATGCTAGAGTCAAGTTGGACATGAATGGTATACGTGGAGATTTACAAGTTACGACGGATGCCCAAAGAGAGCTAGGAAAAAGGAAGCAATAAGGCGAAATGTAGGATAATGTAGGCGAAATATAAAAATTGTATTGTAATGAAATGTAGGATCATAGAGGAGGATTGACATTATTTTAAGGGGAAGGGGTGGAGGTGGAAATTCTTGGTTCGGTGAATCCTTCATTGATGCTAGAGTCAAGTTGGACATGAATGGTATACATGGAGATTTACAAGTTACGACGGATGCCCAAATAGAGCTAGGACGAAGGAATTAATAAGGCGGATCAAAACACTTAACTTTGTAAGTTGACTATCATTCAAGGATTATGATGAGAGACTAATTATTTGATGTGCGCTAGTAAGAAGCACGACAAAGTTCCTCATCTTAAGTGGTTTTTGAGGAGATTTCAGGAAGCAATATGGGTAAGTGGACTAAAAAATATCCTTTTGAGTGTTGGAAATAAAAGGACTGAGCTAATATGAGAGAAAAACGCTTCTATTACTTTCAAGAATAGAAATAAGAGACATCATGCTCTAACTAAGAATTATCAAAGACACCTCACATATTTCTCAACTATATATACAACATTTCTTGGTTGTGCTATGATGATCTAATATCTGATGTATTTGACGATAAAAGTTATACAAACTTCTCTATTTATAGGACCAAAACTAGGCAGTAGGAAGTTGGGAAAATGGTGGGTTGAAGCTTGGAAGAAGTTTCAATAGTGGTTGAAAGGAAGGTAACTTCTAGGTGTGTGAAAGCTTCCCTTGTAATTCTTGAATATGGACGAAGCTTCATAGATGTTTTTAGGAATTGAATTCTTGATTGGAGGTATCAATTTTACTTGGGAGCGGTGGGGGTAGGTGGGGGCACCAAGAATCAGTGGTGGAGGAAAATTTGGATTGTATTTTGGTTAATAAAACATGTAGAGAGAGATTCGTAATTCGTGGATGCAATAGCATCTTCCCTATAGGGGGATCGAAGTGATCACTTGGGTCTTTTCATTAAACTACATCCAATGAGCAAGAGGTGGTTGAGCGGAGCTGGGGTAAGGCAAATGGAGATTTTGGTTAATCAATTCAATAATAAAGTTAAATCTTTGCTATTGATAATTGATTCAATTTTAATAATTAAAATTTACATATTTAGAAACTGCAATAAAATCTTTATAAAGTTGTAAAATCCAATTTAAAATTTTATTAAGAATTGATATTCTAATTAAGTGAATAAAATGAATCTATTTCACTCAAAATAGTCAATTTTGCAACTCAATTTGGGACCAAGAGGTATTACTCAAGACATGTAGGCTATTGTATTGATTTTGATTCATTAGTTTTAGTTAAACATTTAAAAAATATAATGTGTAGGTTGGAAAATGAAAAAGAAAAATTACTTTTGAACAAAATGATTCTTTACGTAGGGTTGTGCATCGGTTGAAAACTGACCGGATCGCAACTGGAACTAGTATTATATAAAAAAAATAGAAATCAGAAACTGGACCGAATATATTACGATTTTTAATCGGAAACGAACAAGAGTAACCAGTTCTAAACCGGAACCAAACTAGAAAAATCGGTTTCTAAATTATTATTATTATTATTTGAAAAAATAAAACTAATATTTTTGTAAATATGGATTATTTGATATTAATAATGTTAAATTTTTTACTTCTTCTATCTACCTACTTATTTTTATTAGTTTTAAAGAGAAAACAAATGAAGTAATTTGATTGTAGAATAATAAATGTTAACTATTTCTATTATCAAGACAATAACAAAAAATGGATAAACATAAAATATAAAAGTAATTTTTATTTAGATTGTTATTATTACTAGTTTTATTGCGGAGTATTTTTTAGCTATTTTATATCAGTATTAATTAATACGGAGTATATTTTAAAATATAATATAACCGGCTTAATCCAGTTGAAACCACAATAACCTGGTTTTTAACTGGAATCAGATCAGAAATCGGAAATGAAATTTTTCATAACTAAACACCAGACCAAATAGCATTTTTGTTCGGTCCGGTTCCGGTTTTTCCATTTTGATTTTCTGGTTTGAATCGGTTTGTGCACACCCCTATTTTTACGTACAAAATAAGTGGACATATTTATGTGGCACGTACCAAGACGAGAACTAGTCTTTCGAGGCTACTGAATTTTTTCTTGCGAAGGGCACTGTCTTTATCTTTGATTTCGTTGTTTAATCTGGGCAAATATCTGCACCCTTTTAAGTAACCAGGGATATCCTTGAACAAGCAAGTCAAAAATACAATTAAGAAGATGATCCTAATAATAAACCTGCACACACACACACACACACATATATATATAGGGAGCCTCCGTGCGGCCTCCACGTTTTGAGGGCCTTCCCGGTGGAATTTTTCGCTGAATTGTTTTGAGCATGTTCTTCATCAAGTCTAGTCCATCCATACCAAATTTCAGCAAAAAATTCAATCAGGAAGGCAGTCAAATGATTTTTGGAAGATAACTGCACCCTTTATATATATATATATATATATATATATATATATATATATATATATATATTACTGCTCTCCCAAGCCCCAGCTGGCCTTACCGTATGCTGAATGAATTAATTAAATCATTGTATCAAGAGAATAGCAATGTTTTTTTTTCAAGTGTGGTTTACTTACAGATGGTATCTTGATATAACCACTAGGAGCCAAATGAGTCTGCATTTACAGAAATTGAAGTGAGATACTCACAACTTCAATGTATTTCTCAATATATGACCTAGTCACTTATTTTACTAATTTGATGGGAGAAGTCACGTTGCACATGCATTATACGGAAAGTTCTCTTTCTTATTTTTCAGATATGCTAGCCACATTTGATGGCTTTTAGAGCATCTCCAATGGTAAAATGACCACATAAATATTAGTAAATAAATTCTTTCTCTCCTTATTTGAATGATTTTATACAGTTTTGGTAAGTTTTTCTCCACAATGTCAAAGAGACCGTCTAGATGTTGACATTGTTGTTGACATTGCAGGGAAAAACTTATCAAAATTGTATAAAATCATTCAAATAAGGAGAGAGATAATTTATATGCTAATATTTATGTGTTATCACTCATGCCACATGTGCACCGTGCACATTATAGCATTGGAGATGCTCTTAGTCCTATTTTGGTCAATCAACTTTTTGGGTCATATGATGGGAAATTCTCTATATATGTATATGTACATATTAATTCTCTCAAAGCAGAGACGAGCCACAATGTGTTATGAGTGATGTGAACTTGATAGGAATTTAAAATTAGGGAAATTACCACAAATAGAACAAAAAAGGTTTGTATATTCCAAAATAGGACTATCATGTTTTTATTTCCAAACTAAGACTAATTATTGTCATGTTTTGGCAGTACCAGACATTAAATATGACAATATTTTCTAAACTTGGCAGCAATTACTCCTATTTTGAGAATAATAACATGACAGTCTTATTTTGGATTTTTCAATCTTATTTACTCCTATTTTGGGAATTTTCTCAAATTATTATGAGTACTTTATTTTTCTATTTTTACTGTTATGCTTTAGATATATAACTATTTATGATATTAATACTGCGTTACTATGGTTTGATAATGCTAGAATATGATAGCATGATTTCCAAATTGCTGTAATTTACTTTTGCTTGAGGAGGAAACATAGTACGAATATTTTCAAATTTCTTATGTTTTTTAAAAACAATTTCATATTGTTTTTACTCGTATTTTAGTAAATTTCTCAATAGTACAAATATGGCATATATAAAAAATATTGACAAATATAAGACTAAAAATGGTAATGGATATAATGATGTTTTTAATACGTAGTGAGGTTCCATCCACTATTCTCCTATCAATATAAATTATTCTTAATCTTTTACTTTATGTATCGAATTTTAATCAATTTTGATTTATCTTTTTGCGACTTTTTAAAGATTTTATTGTAGTTTCTAAATATGTAAAAGTTATTTGCTAAATATTATCTTATTAATAACATGAATAAGTTAATGTTATGGCTAATCAAACATTGTAAACTTCATGGAAACTCTTAACTGGATGGAGACAGTATTTATTATGCTTATTCTAAGTAATCTTTTATTGGAACATATTGTTTTGTTGATAACAAACAACTAGTGTTATTTTTGGTTTATAAGTGATTGTAGAAAATTAACTTAAGTTGTGCTCTAGAATAAGCCGTAGACCTGATCGATCCAAGAATTGCCATGTGGATCCAAGATTTATTAATTTGGCTTACTTAAAAATATTTTTTCTCTCCACTCAAATTCAATTTTGTTTTGCTAAATTAAAGAGAATTTTTTAGTAAGGAAATCATCAATGATCATACAAAGAAAATATTTTTCTTTTAAAGTAAAGTTATTTAATTAAAGGCATTAAATAAGAGATCTTTCCACAAAACAGGTTTCCAAAATAAAAGGAGTTATTCAAAATTCAAATTAGATTTTTGTGCATCTCCTTTTACAAGGAAGGTTTTATGAACTAAAATATTTCCTTCAAACCATTTTTTTAAAGACCAATAAGCAAATATTTTTCAAATCATTTTCATACAAAGATAACCGAAAATATATAATGAGATCTGAGCACATTAAAGAGAGTACATCAAGTCATGATCTAGCACATTAAAAAGAACCAAGCACAAAGGAAATAATCTATCTTCAAAGGAAAAGACACAACAAAGGAAAGTTTGGCCGACAAGGAAAGCTTAGGGCCTGTTTACTAACAGAAATATTTTCCAGTTTTCCAGAAAACTGGAAAACTGGAAAACAGAAACAGGAAACGTGTTTACCAAAGAAATTCCTGGAAAACTGGAGAGAGGAAAAAAGAAAAACACGTTTACCAAATCGTTTTTCAAAACGGAAAAAATGAAACATGTCTCTCTTTTCCTTAACGATTTGGAGAAGTGACTTTTACTAGTTTTCAAAATTTGGAAAACACAGATGCTACAGTGTCTTTGCAATGAATTTGCATACTTACACCTAGTGATGGGTCCGGTCCCGCTCAGATGCCGATTCCATTCCGGTACCTCCATCCTTGTACCTTACCCCTTACCCCTACCCTACCCTACCCTACCCACCCAACCCCCACCCCGCGTACCCATTTTTCCCTATAATGACCTTACCCCACCCCCCACCACATGCGCCGACCACGGCCCCACCCCGATCCACCCTACCCTACCGCCACCCCCTACCACCTCGACCCCACCTCGATCCACCCTACCTTACCACCACCCCCTACCACATTGACCCCACCCCGACCCACCCTACCCCTCGTATATTACCACTTACCCCTACCTTACCCTTTACCACATGCTTCCTACCTCGGCCCCACCCGGATCCCGGGCCCACCCTACCGCCATCTTATCCCAACTCCCTACCCTACCCCTACCTTACCCCAACCCCAAACCCCCCTACCCCTAGACCTTACCACCCCACCCTGACCATACCTCTTACCCCACCCCCACCCATAACTTCCCTACCCCGACCCCTACGAGTAGGTATGGGTGAGTATGAAGGGTTGTGGTGGAGTATGGGTAGAGTGTAAGATCGTGGTAAGGGTAGAGGTAGGGGTCAAGGGTGTGGAATTGGAGAACTGTGTGAAAAAATTGATGAACATGTTTTCAAATTTGAAAATGGAAAACTAAAAAATAGAAACAGAAAATTGGAGATAGAAAAACTGAAAAATAAAAACAGAAAATTGGAGAACGAAAAACAGAAGTAGAAAACAGGAAAATATTTCTGTTAGTAAACAGGCCCTTAGCTTTTAATGTCATAAAGTCTTGGTAGCTCCTAAACATCCCTATAAATGACTTGATGTGCTCTCCTTAATTTGCTTAGATCTCATTATATATTGACCAGTTACATTGATAGTTAAAGGTCGTGCATGGAGATGGGTGCTCTTGAATCGAAAACAAATTACTCATAGAAGGAGAGTCATACACAGTAATGCCCTAGAAGATTGAGTATCAGCTATAGTTCTATTGGCAGTTTTATTCCTTAATTCATCACTTCTATTGTATTGAGGTTAAGAGGAACATTTGAGAATGTTTTTCTTTGAGGGTTGAGGTGAAAATTGAGAGCTTTGTTGTAAAGTTGAGACGGCTTACTTACAAGGTGAGTTGTGAGAACTCTACCTAGAGTTCAAGGGTAAATTAGGAGTATTTATTGTAAAGGCTTTTAATGAGAAGTTTTTCAAATTCCTCTAAGGGAGATCGATGTTTTTTAATCCTTGTTGACCCAAGAAATTTTTCCTCGTAAAATTCTTGTGTCCTTCAATTTTTTCTTTTTGTCTGCCCCGCATTAAAACTTGACGAAAAACTGTCATAGTTCTACCCATACAATTTATCCCTTTTGTTTGATTCATTTGGTTCATCGCTTCTAATTCTCAAAAAGAAAAAAGTAAAACAAGGGACCAATGGTTTTTGGAATCGGAGTAAACTCATTCTGTCAGTGTACATATACTCCCATGCCGGCGATAAGAGTGAAAGAAGAAGGTAAGTAAAACAAGAACCGGCCCTGGCCTGCTAAAGTCAGTTTAATGTATCATAATGATCCTCTCTAGCCAGATTGACATAACACTTTTGGCGGACCACCACGGGATTGTTTTTTATAAAATTTTTTGATGAAATGTTTTGAGCTTATAATTCATGAAATCAATATTATGTCCACGAAGTTGTAGCTTAAATTCAATCACGAAGTTAGTTAAATAAATTATTGAAGTAAATTGTGCAAATTATACATATAAAAGCGCAGTTTTTTTCAATCAGTTGTTTAACTGATTTTTCAATTGAATTTTAAATTGCATTTTTGTAAACATAATCTATATTTCATGAAAAACATGCTCAAAAGTTTCATTAAAAATATGATTGGAAACCTCCCAAACGGCTGTGGTCAGAGGATCCTATGGCATGATCCTTTTCTGTTTATGTATACTAGTACAGCTCCCGTGCGATGCACGGTGCATGAGTTTGTTCCAGGGGTAATTACCGTTATACACGAAAATGTGATTAGATATAAAGTTAAATATCATACATTGTACATATGGGTGACTCGATCTCAGTTCTGATCCTGAATCGGCCTCTCCAGGCCAGTGTTGAGGCCCTGAGGGAAGCCCGAGTCTGCTTAAATTCGGATCTTTTTTTATAATACAAATTATTCAAATAAATAATAAAAATAACATGAACAGTCTTTCGGTCTAAACTTTTAAAATGATAGGTTACAATCAATTACTTCGTATAATATCTTAAAATAGGCCACTTATTTGAGAGTATGAAATAATTTTTTTTGTATACCATTATGGTATGTATACTAAAAAATAGCTAACTATCACTTCTGTTATAATTGTAATACTACATCCGTCCCTCTAAGTTTGGGACAAGAGAATGTGACACGGTTATTAATAAAATTGGGTTTATGTGGTTGTTATTAAATTGATAAAGTAAAAATAAAGTAGGAATGATTTAGAACCACACAAACTTTACCAAATAAGGTACGAGACAATCTTAGTGGGATGGACTGAAAAGGTAAAACGGGACAATCATAGCGGGACGGATGGAGTAGTTGACTATATTACTCCCACTATTTCTTAAAACTTTGTCAACTTTTCTTTTTAGGACTCCTATTAACTTTGTCACTTTATCTTTTAAAGGAAAATTGTGAATCTGTTAATTCTCTCTCGTGGTTAAGACATTATGTAAAGTTAATGTCTCTAACTATAACTCTAAATCTGGGAGTAATTTTTATTTTAAACAATTAAAAGTAATTCAATTGTGATTGTTTTGGGCACATCTTAAATTCTTAATCATACGAAGTATACTACATCTAAGAGCCTTCCAATTAAACGGGCCTAGAATGAGCTCTCCATTATATGTGAGTATGTGAAGCCCAAGAAAGAAAGCCTATTAAAACTTGAAGCCCCTTTCCAGAAGAACCCTTCACAGCTTCACTCCTTTCCAAAAAGGCCAATCGGCCATCCTTTTTCAAACCATCCACAGCAACATTCCACTCGAACAACCCTTCATTTTCTTCTCAGTAACTCCAATCGGCCAGCCCCTCCTCAACCAAGCACACCAACACTCCACCACGAACACAACATCAGCTGACGGCCAGTTAATTCACGCAACCCTTCCGCCCTAATTGTTCATCAAGGTATACGACCGCCGTCATGAATCGATCGATTGAAAGCATCCTCCGCCACTACCGCCTCCTCTGCCGCTCGCTCTAAGTTTTTTAAAGACAGTAAGAACACGCTTCCTCTACTATACACGACCATCCCAGTGATTAAACCTTTTCTTAAAACCACCCAATCGGAGTTCTAGACAAATATCCAGTATCCACATTCACTGCCTACAGATCTAGCAGATCTGTTTTATTACTACCATATTACCCCTAAGTTTTTTTTAATAAAAATGATATTCGATTTTACATGCAATGATTTCATATGCTAAAAACATACTCCGTAATATATTTTAAAAAATAATATCTGAAAGTTTAATATGACACAAACACGGATTAAATTTTTATAATAGATCTACGTATATGCATTTAACTCGAAAGTATTGACTTCAATTTCACAATTTTAAAAAAAGTATATGAATGTCAAATGACAACCAAGTAATTGTTTTAATCCATTTCCAGTATTTTATTATTCAATAATGTTACATGTGATGTACTCCCTCCGTCCCGTTGGAATGTTCCCGGTTTGACCTACACACATATTAAGGAAATAAACTTACCAGGGGGTAAATTTTACTGTTTGGACACTGTTTGACACTGTTTTGCACTGTTTGATACTGTTTTGATGTAGGATAACTTTCCATTTAGGGAATGAGAACTTTCCACTTGGACATCCAAAAAATGAAAGTGGGAACATTCCAACGGGACGGAGGGAGTATGTTTGAACTTTATGTTTTTGTTTTTATTTTTTGTAAAAAACGCACACTGAAGGTACTACTGAAATATGAAGGTTGTATTATGTATGCATTCTCTCGAATTTGAAGTTGTTTTTATATCATAAATTTTAGCTTTTAAAAAGCAGACATTAATTGTGTATTATTTTAAATGATTTCAAAACAATTTATAAAAAAACTGGATACTTCTGAAATTTTATAAACTTACACTTGTCTCCACATATGTATCATGTGGCGTAGGAAGTGTGCGACGAAGTAACCCTGTTTGTGTGGAGAGGGCCTGAGCATCATTCGTCAATTATCCGGCATCCGTGAAGTATGAGTAACCCTGTTTGTCTGAGTTGTAGGCTTTTTCGCTCCAGAGTCCAGATTTTGCGAGGAAGTGTGCGACGAAGTTGGCTTCTCTTTGCCGGTGAAAGAATGTAAATCTATGGGTGCGCCTGAGGTTGTCGATTCTCTTTGGCTATTCACATTATTCGAAAATATTCTTATAACACCTTCGGTTTCCCCCAAGCATTCTCCCTCTTGTTCATAGATCTATTTATCCTAAAGAAGGTAAGCTAATTTCTTTTACAAAAAATTGATTATTAATTCAAGTTTTTTGTATTTTTGTTTAGATTTTTGTACTTTGAAGATGGATAAATGCCAAATGTGGTTTTCAGGTGGTCATACTGGAGTTTTGTGGATTGTTTTAAGCGCGAAGCAAAAAGTCTATTGAAATAATGCAAGTTTAGGTAGACTTTGCCGAACTGCCTATATCTTTACTTTATAATATCATTTTTTGTTGTAAAATGAGGTATTTTCTGAAATTTCTTAATAATATAATGCCTAGACTAATTCTTACCTAGTCTACATACAAAAATATAATCAAGCAATTAAGAACCTTACAACACTACTATCAACATGAATAATACTTTAAATAATATGTCTTTTTGTAAAAGTTATATAAGTCATTCCATAAAATGGTTGAAGCTTAAATATTACTGATAAGTGGTCTTTTAAAGTAATGTTTAAGTAGGAAGTGGCATAATTGTTTTGTAATTGGAGGTGTTATGTACTATTGGTAGCCCTATTTATTGTTAGCCTTATCTACTGGAGCGTTTTTATACCTATTTTATTATATGTAAATGTCATTGCCAATATACACATAATCGTCTCATTTTTGCAAATAGATACCTTATCATTTACTGTTAGCACTTTCCTAACCTACTGTGAGTATGCTATAAATAGAATCCATATGTATCGTTGAAATGGGTAAATTTTATAGACAAAACTAACCTACACCTCACACTAAGTTGATGTGTTTAAAAACTTGGGTATTACACTGTTTGAAGTTGAAATGACATAAGTTGTACTAAGACATCAATGTTTTATAGTATAGTAAGGTTTTGAAATTGCAGATGTTATAGAGTACAGTGAGATTGATTTCCCGTAATTCTAATATTTTTTAAGAGCAGTTTTCTAAACTGATATCAATGTGGCATTTCCCTCTAATTGACATGTAACCGCAATATGTTGAAAAATACTCAAGAACACATTATGAAGTAAGAGCAATTCTATGTAATTTAATACATTAAATATTCATTTAAGTAATAAATAAAAGTACATATAAATACAATATCACAAAGATCTCGTGTATGTTCTTTTTGCAGGTGTTCAAACTTGGAGTTCATGGATTTTTTTAAATCTTAAAGCCAAAAACAATTGGGATGTTGCATGCTGGGTAAACCCTATCTATTTTTGACTCTATAATGCAAAGTCTTAAGTACTGTATAATGGTGAGACTGGGTAAACTATATTGATCTCTTACCTACACTATACATTTTAATATAAAAATACAATATCAGTAATATCAATATTTCTTCTAAAAATAATCCCATTCTGATATGAACTAAAACATGTCCAACATGTTTAATTTCGTGCTAATTGTTTCCTATTGGTTTCCTAAATTGTAAAATCAAACCTGCCTTGCGATTAAAACTGAGTGACATTTACTTCAATCCATTTCCTGAACCAAGTCAAGCTTTAATATTCTTAAATATATATTGTATGAGCCAATAATTTGTGTCACTTTGTGTGGCGCTTTATGCGTGTGCGTGTGTGTACCTGTGTGTGTGTTCGAGTTTATGTTGAGATTTCTATGATGACTAAAATTACAAAAACAAAGAATGAATGAATAAATCAAAACACAAAATACTCAGTTTGGTCGTCTACACATAATACTTGGTACAGATAAAAGATGAGTTTAGGACATAAGCCTTCTGTTTGGTTTTGCATCATCTATAAATTCTCATTTGGGATTGGCTGTGGAAAGATTCATTGCTTTGTTGGTGCCTGCTTCTTTGTAATCGTTGTAAGATAGTCATCAAGAAATTGTAGGAATTCTAGACTTTGCTTATACCCTCTATAGTGTATGATTTTCTTGCGTGTAGGCTCAAAACTTCAAGTGAAGTAAGAGGCAGAAGGATTGAGTGGTGTTCACTTTCAATGAGGTTAGTATTTATAGGAAAAAATTGATTAAACTTCTTTTTGAAGTTTCGTGTTTCCCAAGAACAGGCTGGCCAAACTTGTGGGCTGATTGTTTTTCTATTTTTTCAGACCTCAATGCCTTTTTTTCTATGGAAGATGTGCACGCATGCTCCAAGACACAGAATGGCTGGATTTGATCTGTCATTCTTTTTATACAACTCCGTACTAAAGTTTTGAAGATGCCTTGATATCAATCACCATTTACTACTTTTTACTGTTCAATTTACTGTAGATGATTTATACTACTCAACTTTCTAGTGTACTTGATTTCCCTAGCCCTATTCATAATTTACACCTTCGATTTTCAGCTTTGTACTTTCAGTTTAATAAGGGATATTTTTGCAATTTCCAGCCATGCACTTTCACACATAAGGACGATGCTTGAGCGGGAACACTATTCCCACAAACATTTTGCTTTTATATAATGATAGATCTTGTTAATTAAGTTGTTATTAATTAATTACCTGAGCAAAGTCATTGTATACTCCCATGCCATAAAAGTGACCAATTGTATTACACCATGGGAACTTCTGCTCGTAGAGTACATGCAAACGATCAATGGGTGCGGATTTTACATTTAATTCCAAATGCCAAATAGGTACTTACTCCGCAGGGATAAGTTGAAGCATGACCTGCATCTGGTCCTCCTACTGATATGAAATTCTTCACCTATTTATTAGGTAGTATAAATTAAAGATCAATGAATGTATACACATAGTCAGAGACGGATTCAGAATTTCAAGTCAAGGGACCCATTTTTTTCCGTTAGTGTAGGGGGGTGAAATTTTTCCTCCACTATAGCGGAGCCAAACTTTTCCGCTAGTGTAGGGCTCTGCGACTATTTTTTATTCGCGTAAGAAATAACTTTAGTTTTTTTACACGATGAAATTTGAAACTATTACATTCTAATTATTTAAGTATAAACAATGGGAAAATAACTTTGATTTTATAATGGAATTACTCTAGAAAAATGTATAGATACATTTTTTTAGAAGAAAAGTATTAATACATTGAAACGTAAGAAATGACAAATGAAAGGAAAATTATTTAAAAATAAAAAGGCTAAATAACATGTTATCAAATTATTTGAAGATAAAGAGTTTAAGAGTTTAAAAATAATTTCTGCTTTGTTTTACCACATGAATCTTATCAGAATATATAATTGGTATTTGAATTGCTTTTGTCTACCAAGGAGAGTGTTCGTGAGTCACAAGGAGTTTTCCTAATATTACAATAGGGGAAAATAATTAAAATAACCAAAACTTTGAAGGAGTGTGAGATAAACACCTCAAACTTTCACATGTAATTTAAATACCCCAAATTTATAATTTGTTTCTTTCAAATTATAAATTTATGGTGTTAAATGCATAATTTAAAATAGCAAATTGAAAACATTAGAAATAAACACCAAAAATTAATACTTTGAAAGAAATAATACATGACCATGGTGCTAAAATAACTTTTTATATAAAGTTTGGGGTATTTAAATTACATATGCAAGTTTGGGGTGCTTATCTCACACCTCATTTAAGCGTGGGGTATTTTAATTATTTTCCCCTATTACAATCATATGTATGTGATTATTTATTTTTAGAATAATATTATACTGACAATTCATGATATTGATGGTGCATATTATATTTGCATTAATGCTAAACCAAGTTAAAGTTTATTTTTTGTGTAATAAATTATTTTTTAAATGTAAGTAGTAAATGAGTTATGTAATTTAATGTTAACAAACATTTATATTTTACATCATATGATCTAAAAACTGTTTAGCTACTGTGTCTGATATTTAGAGCCCGTTTGGTAGCTCAATTTTTTGACTTATCAGGCTTATAGTCACCTTTTTCACCAAACATGCAATTTTCTATTTTCCGTGTTGTATTGCTTAATAATAAGAAAAGTATGATTGAAGTTATTTTTCAGGTTGTATTATATTGGCTGAAGTTAGTGTAGAGGACCATTTTTTATATTCTTTACATATAAAGTTTTCTTTTTTATTAATAAAATATATTTTAAATATAACTTTTTAATAAATCAACAGAATCAGTCAATTCAGCCAGAACTTCATAAATTTCAGCACAATCAGCCGATTCAGCCAATTTTGGTATTACCAAACGGGCTCTTAATATTGTTTGATGTTTTACAAAATCGAGTACTAATTATCTAATAAAGATAATTAAACATTATAAAACTAAGAATTTTTATATAATGACTACCCTAAGTCTTAAACAATGAGTTGTTCTGTTGTTTATTTGTTTAATTAAGAAATGATAAATTATTTTAGATATTTCTTCTTTTCAATCTCCTATTAAGTATTATATGTAGTATTATGTAAGGCTATATATTGATTTTGAAAAGTAAAAGTTAAGGGGGTCGCTCCCCCCTAATTCCATTCCTGTAAACAATTCAGGTACCTATTTTTTAGACGATAATGTGTGCACACAACTAATCGAAAACTTATGAAGGAATGAGTTGCGAAGTCAAATGATTTTACAGTATAATGAGGTGCACATATTTTTTTCTTCTAACAAATAGGTGTAAAATATAATATTATCCAAAATATGAAGTATAAAGTCAATTTGCACTACACAATGATAAAGGGGGACTAAATAATGATAAAGTTCATAAATAGGACTATCAATGTCTTATTCCAAAATAGGACTCATTTGCTCCTATTTCGGAAAGTTTTAATCAAGTTATTCGTTTAATAGGACTAAATAAGTACTGCTTGGGGAATAAAATATATGTAATCCTATTTGAGCATTTAAGTGTGGTTTTAGTCCGATTTCCCAAAATAGGAGTAAATAGGTTTCATAATTCCAAAATATGACTGTTATGTTCTTCTTCTCAGAATAAGAGTAACGTGGCAGTATCAACTGTCATTTTGTAGGCACGATTGACAAATAGTTGCAGTACTATGCTTTTAACATGACCCTGTTTATTATAATTAATGACAGTTTTCTTTAAGCATGACAGTATCTTTCAATCATGGCTATTTCCCTATTTCGATCAGAAAGAAAAAGAGTAGTTCTATTTTGAAATTCAAAAAATTATTTACTCCTATTTAGGGCTATTTCCCTATACAAAATATGATTCAAATAATGGCACACTTTTATAATATTAAATGCACTTTTATATATAAATAAACTTTCACAGTACTGTGCTCTTATGCAAAATTTTCAGTATTTATATTGTTGTCAATGCCTCAGCTCATGTGTCATTAGACCTGTACAAAACCGGGCCGGCCCGCCCGGCCCGCCCAGCCCGCCCGCACAAATTAGCGGGCTTGGGCATATATATTTACCCACCGGCCCGGCCCGGGCCCGGCCCGCAACAACATATGGGCGGACTTGGGTTAGGGTGTAGGCTCGTTCGAGCCGATAAGCCCGGCCCGCTACATTTAGTATATATACATATATATTTTTATATATACTAATTTATGTATTTATTTACATGTACACTTGTATATTTTCATATTTACTAATTTATCTGTATACATATTTATAGTTTATTATGTTTAAATTTAAGTTTTTAGTTCTTAACAAATAGTCCAACCAATATAATATCTATTTTTGTACTTAAAGATAATACGTTTTGCTTGAATTTTAAATTTTAGATATAGTTTCTCATTATTATTTTTGTGTAAATATTTTTTGTGTATGTGATGAAAGGCCTATATACATTATAAGCGTATTAGCAATTTTTTAAATGTTGTAATATTATTTATAAAGTATTAAATAAATTATATAATTTTGAAAAATTTAAAGCTTTACCGGGCCCGGTGGCCCGGTGGACTACCCGACCCGCTCTTACGGGCGGGTATGGACATAGGGTTAGGCCCGTTTTTGCGGGCCGGGCCGGGCCCGCCCACACACGATGGACAGAAAACTTATGGAAAGCCCGGCCCGAGCCCGGCCCGAACCCGCTTTTGTGCAGGTCTATGTGTCATGTTAATCATGCATTTTTACTGTTAAAGAGGGCAGAGGATATAAATGGAGCAAGTTATAGGATAAAAAGCAATAGTAATTTGGGGCTAAAATAGAAAACATTCCATTACATGAGTAAGAACATATTTAATTTATTACTTTATTTAATTGTTTTCTACGCAGAGCATCTTCAATGCTATGATGTGCATGATGCACATGTGGCATGAGAGAGATAAATACAAAAGATTAAGTTTATGACATTTCTCCTTTTTTCCACGGTCTTAAGTGTTTTAGATAAGTTTTTTCACAACAATGTCAATCACAATGTCTACATCTAGACATTGTGTTTGACATTCCGGAGAAAAACTTAACAAAAATGCATAAGACTGTTCAAATAAGGAGAAATATATTTTATGTATTGTCTTTTAATTGACTATCTCTTATGTCACATTTGCACCATTCACGTTTTTTCATTAAAGATGCTCGTAGTATGTTAGAAAAACTGTGATGCGTCCATGTTTATTCTTTTCCTTTTTAGGTAACAATGTGTGCATTTATATAAATGCCTTACTCTTTAATATTAGTCATCCTTTCCAATTTTAGAAAGCTTTTTCAATAAATATACCTATATATCTTCATTATCTTTCCTACTTTTTCATTATCTTTCCCACTTTTTCATTTAAATACAACACACTACATCTTTTACATTATCCCTATTATTTTCATCTTACAACTTGTGTCAAACCCTATAAGAACATCTATTGGAAAATTGAGGGAGTATCTAAATACAAAAATATTTTTTGTGCACATTATTTTGGTGTATACAATTTTACACATGTCTGTGTAGGTTTTTTCTACACAGACAAAACACGTTTTGTCTGTCTAGACAAAAAAAACCTACATAAACATGTGTAAAAGTGTGTACAGCAAAATAGTGTGTACACCAAGTTCCACTCATGTATATAAATACTCGGTATAAACCAAATTTTCAGTCATATCGTCCGTATAAAACTAAAACAAAATACCACAGAACCAAAATAAAATACTTACAGGGGGGCCGTCACATTCTTCAATCACTCCTCTTCCTACCATGTTTCCCTGTCAACATTTTATCAATCATTATAATATACTCTCTCCGTCCCGAAAACAACTTCCCGGTTGGACTTTCACACACTTTTACGAAATAAATTTGACTTTACTGTAGAGTGCACTGTTTCGCACTGTTTAAACACTGTTTGGCACTGTTTAAACACTGTTTGGCACTGTTTATCACTTTTTTTATGTAGATAATTTGCCAAATAAGGAAAGTATTGAAGTGTGAAGTTAATTTTGGGACATCCATTTAAGGAAAGTGGGAAGTTGTTTTTGGGACGGAGGGAGTATTCCCCAATATTACATAATAGTGTGTATCATGTTTCGTAAAAAGTTTCAAACGAAATATTCTGTACAAGCACCTTGATTTTTTGCATTGTTACACACACACACACATATACATATATATATATATATATATATATATATATATATATATATATATTCTTTTAATTAGTGGAAATTATTGGTATAGTCCACATTTACACTTAACATTTTATTTATGTTCATCAATATAATACTTTTCATATTTAAACTTTCAACATTTCACTTGAACACCCGTGAGTTTATAATTGTGGAAGTTCTAGTATATCTATGTGTCTCTCTTCTTCTTGTGAGTGTGGTGTGAATACAATAGGTAATATCCAGAGAGTTTTCTCCTCTTTGAGTGATAGTTTTCTCTTTGTGAGTGAGAGTTATAGAGGTGAAAAGAGACCGAGAGGCTAAATCTAGGTAGAGTGGCTAAACAGTCCTACGATGGGTGTGTGAGTCGTTTTGATTGGAGACCTGAGCTGAAATACACATCCCGTGGTATAAGAGACATATTATGCCTTCCTTTTCCCTCCGCCGCCGTTCGCAAACGATTTGAGGCCTTGGAGGACGCTCGTCGCCGGAAGTCTGTCGCTCGTTGCTGAGAAGCCGTCGCTGGAGCTTCAGCCCCAAACCCTCCGTCGTTCGTCAAATCCGGAGCTCGTGGGTCGAGGATGCCGCTATAGCCACCTTCTTCTTGGGAATCATCGCCGGAGGATCTCCTGCCCATCGCTATCGATTTGCGTTCCTGGCCGTCAACATCGCTGAGGCAGGAGCTTGAAGACGTGGCTGGAGGTTGACTGGTTGAGACTGTCGTTTGTGATTTCCGTTCGTCTCTGGCGCAGAAGCTTCCAACAGGGCCACGGAGCTTTAAGCAGGAGTTGGATTTGGATTTGGGCTACTTTGAAATGAATAGTTGGGCTGGACTAGAGCTGGACTTGAGCTGAAGACTGGCATGGGACGGAACTCTTATTCTTGTAGGGGTGGGCACAGTCCGGGACGGAACGGGAACTGAGTTGTCCCGGTACCGAATCCGTTTTATAATAACGGTTTGGAACGGGACAACTTGTCCTTTTGTTGTCCCATTTAACTGGTACCGGGACAAAACAGGACGGTTCGAGACATTTCAAACGAATGTAGTGAAAAAATTGCAATCCCAAAAACAAAGCAAAACTATTTCAAAAAATTAAAAAAAAACTAGCGCAAGAAAACTCTATGACAAAAAACACTATAGGTAATCTAAAAAATTGTGAGAAAAAATACAACATAGCATATTAGCTGCATGAAACAAAAGTTGCAACAAAAAAAAACTCTAACACAAAAATCTATCAAGAAATCTGCAAAATATGATAAAAGAATACTATATGAAGAGAAGCCCTTGGGGGTAAAAATCAATTTATTTTTTGTAGACAGATGATAGTTCATAGTATGTGAGGTAGTTTAGAGTTTTTAGGTGTTTTATTGTTAAACAATTAGTATTTTAATAATCATTTTGTATTTCGTTTGTGAAAAAAGGATAAATATTATTATTATTTGAATTACATAATGAGTTGTTGGTAGACTCACTAATTTGGATTCGGGACAACGGGACAGAACGGGATATATTTGACTTGTCCCGGTCCCGTTTTGTTTTGAAACGGTTCGGGACCGGTACGGGACAAAAATAATGTGTCCCAAATATAACGGGACAATTTAGGAACGGAACCCGAACATTCCGGAACGGGTCAACGGGATCAGGTCTTTTGCTTACCCCTACGCAGAACTTGATGGCCAAACGTTGAAGTCAACACTGCTCAGCTGCAGGACTTCAAGAATTGGGTTGGGAGGCTGGACTAGACCTGAAGGCTTGACAGCACTGGTGGACTATTGTTGGGCTAGAAGACTTGGGCCAGACCTGGAACTGGACAGTGGGCTGGTCAACGCCGGGTCAAAGCTGGTCAACAGTCAGACTGTCGGTCAACGCCGGTCAAAGTCAGTCAACTCCGGAATATTCCCAATTTTAATTGGGTGGGTAAGGTGGAAACGCCTCTTCTATGGTTTCGCTCTGGTAAATTGACTTGAAACTTGCTTTTATCGCTCTGGTAAATTTTCTTTTCTTTTCTATATTTTCTTACTTTTACTTGTCTTTGTGTAGAAATCCGGTTTTAGGTTTATTACTGCTTTAAATTGATATAATTGTTGTGATGTTTTGTGCTGAAAATTTATTATTTATTTGTGCTTATACGGAAGAACAAAGGGTTTGAACTTGAGTTTGGTGCTCATTAATACTCTGTGTGTGTCTGTTCTAGTTGCTTCATATATCTGTAGCCTTATAAATATTTAAATTGTTTTTCAGCAAAATTTACATTTTCTTTTGTTGCTTATTTTTCTCCAGAAAAATGTGTGCTTATAACCGATATGGTATGGCTCCATTTAATGGAAAATATGATTTAAGCATTTGGAAGCAAAAAATTAAACGTATTTTAATCCAACAAAAATGTTTTAAAGTAGTTGGTGACACCTGTTTAATTTCTGACACGGAAGATAAAAGGCTGAAATGAATGAAAGTGCTTGTTATGTGATTTATTTGAACTTATTTAATTATGTGACTAGAAAAGTTGAAATTTTAGAGAGTGCTAAAATTCTGTGGAATAAATTAGATGAACTATATACTGAAACCTCTTTGCCTAGTCGGATGTTTTTACTTGAAAAGTTCTTCAAATTTAGACTGGTTATGTCTAAGGACATTGAAGAAAATCTTGATGTTTTTACCAAACTTATTTCTAACATTAAGTTGTGAGGTGATAAGCATATAGATGATGATTCTTCTATTGCTCTTTTAAATGTTATTCTTGATTCCTTTAGTGATGTGAAATCTGCTATTAAGTATTGTAGAGATAATGTGACTCGACATTGTGGTTAATGGTATTAAGAGTAAGGAATTAGATTTAAAACAGATAGGTGAGGGTAGAAAATCCGAGGAGGTTATGCATGTGAGGGGTAGAGAAAATAATATACGACATAGATCTAAGTCTAGGTCTAATTCAAGACCTTGCTATTATTGTCATGAATTTGGTCAGAAGTAGAGATGTCACTTTCAACGAGAATGCCCTATATAAAGATGGTCTTGCAGCAGATACGAGCAAAGGCAAACAACCAGAAATCAAACAGCAAGTGGTGTTTGATGGGATGACTGAAGATGACATAGCACAACCTGTTGTTGTGATGAGATGACTGGAGGCTCAGGGAGCAGTGGGAGCTCAGGAGATACAGGAATGTCTGAAGATAGTGGGAGTGATGAAGATGGTGGGAGTTCAAAGGCAGCTACTCCACACATTAGACAGTCCACTAGAATCAGAAGACCTCCTAACAGATATTCTCCTTCAGCAAATTACCTGTTGCTGACCGAGAATGGAGAGCAGGAATCTTACTCAGAGGCGTTGACCATGAAAGGTTCCATACAGTGGAAGAAGGCCATGGAGGATGAGTTAGATTCACTTGACAAGAACCAAACTTGGTCCTTAGTCAAGCTACCACCGGGAAAGAAAGCTTTGGAGAACAAGTGGGGGTTCAGAATCAAAGATGAAGGGGATGGAAGCAAAAGATACAAGGCAAGGTTAGTTGTCAAAGGGTTCCAACAGAAGAAGGGAGTTGATTACAATGAAATCTTCTCTCCGGTTGTGAAGATGACTACTATCAGGTTGATCCTTGGTATCGTTGCTGCTGAAAATTTGCATTTGGAGCAGCTGGATGTAGAGACTGCCTTTCTTCATGGCAACCTTGAAGAAGACATTTACATGGCTCAACCAGTAGGTTTCCCAGTGAGTGGTAAGGAGAAGTTGGTGTGCAAACTCAAGAAGAGTCTATACGGACTGAAGCAAGCTCCTAGACAGTGGTACTTGAAGTTTGACAGTTTTATGCAGCGGAATGGGTACACTAGATGCAAGATGGACCATTGCTGTTACTTGAAGAAACTCGAGTCATCATACATTATTCTTCTTTTGTATGTTGATGACATGTTGGTGGCTGGGGCAAACATGCAGGAGATCAACAAGCTCAAGAAGAAGTTGTCCGAAGAATTTGAGATGAAGGATTTAGGGGAGGCGAGACAGATTCTTGGGATGAGCATAGCCAGAGACAAGGTGGAAGGTACTTTAAAGCTTTCACAGCAGAAGTACATTCAGAAAGTCCTTGAGAAGTTCAGAATGACGGATGCCAAACCAAGGAGTACACCGTTAGGGAGTCAGTTGAAACTCTCCAAGCAGCAGTCTCCAAAGACCAATGAAGACAAAGAAGAAATGGCTAAAGTTCCTTATGCATCAGCCGTTGGCAGCTTGATGTACGCGATGGTGTCAACAAGGCCGGACATTGCTCATGCAGTGGGAGTTGTTAGCAGGTTCATGTCAAATCCAGGGAAGGAACATTGGGAAGGAGTTAAGTGGCTGTTACGCTACTTGAAAGGTACTTCTGAAACTACCCTATGTTTCAGGAAGAATGGCGTAATTCTAAAAGGATTTGCCGATGCTGATTTGGGGGGCTGTCATGATTCCGGGAAGAGCACTACGGGTTACATATTCACTATTGGAGGTGCGACAATCAGTTGGTTGTCTAGACTATAGAAGAGCGTAGCTCTTTCAACCACAGAAGCAGAATATATGGCCATTGCTGAAGCGGCCAAAGAGTTGATCTGGTTGAAGAACTTTCTTTCAGAGTTGGGCATGAAGCAGGGAGATTGCGGTCGATATTGTGACAACCAGAGTGCTATTCATCTCGCGAAGAATCCGGTGTTTCACAGCAGAACGAAACACATCAAGATGCGGTATCATTTTATTCGAGAATTGATTGAAGATGGTACTATAAGTTTGAAGAAGATCCTTGGTACGAAGAATCCAGCAGACATGCTTACCAAGGCGGTGACAACGGAGAAGTTGAAGCTATGCATGGCTTCAATGGGCCTTCCAGATACTTGATGAGAAGGCGCGGCCGAGAGAGAGAGAGATCAGGGGTTTTACAGAAGATACATGTTCTTGGATGGCAGATGATTGTTGACCAAGCCTCCAAGTGGGAGATTGTTGAAGATGGAGTTTTGTTCTGATCTTTAAAGCAGTTACCCGACCGGGTATATTAGGTCACCCAACCGGGTATGTTGAAGCAGAGACCTGGGAACTCACTGGAACGTGAGACCTGACCGGGTCAGGAGACGGACCCGACCGGGTCAGCGAAGGTTTCACTTTCTGTTTTGGATACCCGCCCTGGTATCAACCTGGGCATGAATTTTGTGAAGAGACCCGACCGGGTCAAGGGGGGCACCCGACCGGGTCTACGGGAATTTTAATTACGGGCCTTGATTTTAATTAGGGCCTGCGGTTCTAATCTCTGTTTAGGTTTTCTTAAACCTATTTAAACGACTCTTATGTACTTGTAAACCTCTTGGGACGCCGATAATAATACATCCTCTCTCTCGTTCGCGTGGACTAGCACAATCAACCCGATTGTGTGAACCACGTAAATTCTTGTGTTCTTGCTCTTAATTTATCGTTTATCTTTGCCTAATCGTAACAAAAACAAGAAGTTGATCAAAAGTTTCCAAAATATGAGTGAATGATTCCTATTTTGGGAATAAAATAATGATAGACTAGTCCTATTTATGAATATTATCTTTGTTTTAGTCCTTTTAGGAGAATTTTCTCTTCATATAGAAATTGCTTAACGATGTTTCAACTCCTACTCTTTAGTTAAAATAAGACAGAGACCACAAATTAATGAATTTTACCCTTGTTCTAAGTGCAACATTTGGTTTTTCACGTTTTCTAATGAACAACTTTGACCAATAATTATTTAATTTTCTATTAGTGAAAAATAAAAAATTCAGCTTTTGAAAATTTACTTGAGTAAAATTGAACATGTTGTAATTATATAACTATATAAGACCAGAGTATTATATATATGAAGTTAATCATATTGGACTATTTTTAAATCTTAATCACGCTCTATAATTTAAAGTGTCCTGAAAGTGAAGTTAATCAGCACTCTTCAAGTAACACTTTAATTCAATAAAATACGAAAGAATGAATTGAAGCATAGAGCTGAGCACGGTCTCATCATATCACCTGGGAGAGAGCAACCATGTTGTAACCACCCTTAAGTTCTGGCATCCTTTTAACCTAGATTCAATTTATACATTCAATTAGAATGTCATATAAGAGTATTTGCAATGAAATAATTAAGTTGTTAAAATCGTATATTTTTGAAAAACAAATCATTAGATTAAATTGTAAAATTTATGATATATGATCATCATTAAAAATAAATTAAATCAAACATATGTCAAATATAACAGCGTTAACAACTCAAAACTTAAAAACTGTATTGTACATATACTTCATAAACGAGATTCATATACTACCTTTATACAGAAAATGGAGCGAATATTATATCGCTGTGAAAGAAAAAACTAATCAAGAAATACAACTATCCATCACTTTTAAGAAATGTAGTATTTCAATAAGTCCTATATTCGAATAATATATTATACTCCGTCCGTCCCAAAAAATACTTCCCAATTTCTTTTTTAGGCCGTTCCAAAAAATACTTCGCACTTTCCCTTTTTGGACAATTTGTTTGAGTTACATTCATTTTTTTTTCAAAACTACAACCATACATTTTCACTTTATTCCACTTTCTTAATAAACGTGTCAAGTCAAACCAAAAAGTAATTTTTGGGATGGAGGTAGTATCAAAATCTCATATGTAATATTAATATTTTTTCGAAGCATTTTCCTCACGACTTTTACAATATGGTTACGATTTTATACGATTCTACTACTACTTTGAACTATTTTATGAGTTCACAACAAAAACTTGCAATTCAAATATATTTATTGGTACATAATTAATAAATGATATTTTACGATAAAGGTAGCGATTTTAACAACCTTGATGCTTATGAACCATTAAAACGTCTCATATGAACACAAAACTCTATTAATATTAGGGACAGGTCCGAGAATTTGAATTGGACTGAGCTGAAGAGTATATATACTAGACTTAAACATTAACGGAGTAGGATAAATATGTGAAATGAAAAAAACTACACTGAAATTTGAACAAAATTAAGTTACCATGTGCTTCAATCCACCATAACCCTAATGTAGATCATCCCATATTTTGAGAAAAGTTGTCCCATAAGCATAATATACGGAGTAAGGATGTTTTCTTTTGGACCGAAATTTGCTGGTCTGGTCTGGTCCGGTCTGGTATAATCCGGTCTGAACTGGCCTGTCTGGTCGGGTAAACGTCTGGTCTCTGTGTATTTTATAACTACGGAAGTCCGGGTCTGGTCTGATCTGGTATGGTCTGGTCTGATCTGATATGGTTTGTTCTGGTTTGGTCTGGTCTGGGACTGAAAACAGTCCAAAAGAAAACATCCTAATTGCTTAAAAAGGAGAGGTGATTCATCACCTTAGGGAAGAGACATTTTTTATCAGGTTAAACCAGTTCTATAGAACATACCCACCAACTATAAGACCCCTAATATAATTTTTTTAAAATTATATTCATTAGTACGGAGTAATATATAGCAGTAGTATATACTACGTATATTAATACGGGTCGGTATATGGAAGAAGTTTGCAGATCCGCCATTTTTTATGTGTTAGTCCTTTTAGTCATCTTTTACTCAAATTGCTTGGATAATGAGTTGCACACTTTGCTTTAATTCAAACATTAAGTATCTTTTCATAATTTTAATTGTAATGTTTAAAGAGTATTCAATTGATTTGACTCTAAGTATTTAGAGAATATTTTTTAGTGTTTTTTTTATCTAGAGCCTTAATTTTGCATTTGAAACTGGAGTCTCTGTATTGATTAGACGTTCCTCCACCTTGCCACAAGCATCAGCTACCTATACGTGAAAGAAAAAACCAAATAAGTAAACATTGATTAAAGAATGGGAAAGTTTCCGAAATAGGACTAAAAAGTATGAAAATTCCAAAATAGGATTGTCATGTTTTTATTGCCAAAATAGTAGTGATTACTGCTAAGTTTGGAAAATACTGTCATGTTTGAAGTCTGGTACTACCAAAACATAGCAGTAATTAGTCCTATTTTGGGAATAAAAACATGCATGGAAGTCCTATTTTGGAATTTTCAAAACTTTTTAATCCAATTTCGGGTAATATTCTCTTAAAGAATCCAACCATAAAAGATGGGTACTATATATAATGATGTTTTGCATATATACTTGCTTATTCATTGGCATCATCCATGAATCAAAGAGTCCATTTCCAACTTCCCTTCAAATCAAAAGTAGAAACTGACTCAATAATATATAATTACTCGTATATAACATATATCATGATAAATTGAATTACATAGGAAAAGAAACGAGGGCGAGAAAGAAGTGAATTTACACGCATTGTCCTTTGACTTTAGTCATGGAGCTAAGTGTCATGGTGTAGTACGTGCTTCCCCCGTCAACGCATGCCATAGAAATCCCTATCAATTCAATCAACTTCATTAAATCAATTTAATTAAACTCATCGCAAACTACATATGATCACCATCAAGTCTCTCTTCATCTCTACTTAAACAAGAACGAAAGCTAATCTCTCATGACGTACAGGGAATTTGAAGTCAACACTTTTTATTAATTGATACGGGCTCTTTATTATTACACATTGAAGAATGCATGTGCATACAAAACCAATATTCAAAAAGAGGGTAATATATTACTAATCTAATGACCAAATGCCAATTTTAAATGCGCCTGCAGAAGAAAAAGTGGGGGGACAATTAATCATAACAAAGACGATAAAAGATTTGGGTGGCATGCATACCGTGGAGAACAATAAAAGGTGTAGAGGACGAGAAGGGAATGAAAGAGAAAACTATAAGTTGAAGAAATAATATTGTATGCGAGAATGAGATTGGTAACGAGAAACGGTTAGCCATACTTTGATCCATCTCACACGATTGAGAAATAACTATAATACCTCTATAAATATTTATATATACTAATGTACATACACACACTACACACGGATATATATATATATATATATATATATATATATATATATATATAGAGAGAGAGAGAGAGAGAGAGAGAGAGAGAGAGAGAGAGAGAGAGAGGACTTTTCATGTCCAGCCGGCCTGACGGGAACCGCCGTCCGGCCGAGGGCATTTCGGGCACTTCCCGGTGGAATTTTTTGATGAAATGTTTTGAGCATATTCTTCATGAAGTCTAGTTTATCCATACGAAATTTCAGCTAAAACTTCAATCGGGAAGGCATTCAAATAATTTCTTGAAGTTAACTGGGCAGTTCATACATATAAACTGCCCAGTTAACTTCACAAAATTATTTGAATGCTTTCTCGATCGAATTTTGAGCTGCAATTTGGTATGGATAAACTAGACGTCATGCAGAACATGCTTAAAAAAATTCATCAAAAAATTCCATCGGGACGTGCCCGAAATGCCCTCGGCCGGACGGCGGTTCCCGTCAGGCCGGCTGAACAAGAAAAGGACTATATATGTGTGTGTGTGTGTGTGTGTGTGTGTGTGTGTGTGTGTGTGTGTGTGTATAGGGGGGAGATCCCATGCAAACCAAGCTTCCGGTGCTAACCTACAAACCAACTACATCCGCTGGATTAAATAAGGCGGACGGTTGATGCATGTGTGACGCATGGTAGGATCCATGGATGAAATGCATTGACTAATAATAAATCTATCTACTTTTAATGGAACGGTTACTAAGAAGGATGATTTGGTCATTTGGAAAATAGAAGTGATCGGCCACTATAACTACTTATGGAAATAGTTTAATGACTCAATCCATGATTTAAAAAGATGTGCCACAAACGGAATACAATCCATAGAGTTTAGCTAACCCCACCACTAAAATCTAAACCACCCATGTTTAGCAAATTAAAAAAAGGAAAGATGCAAGGATTAAGATTGAACTTTTAGCTAATCAACGAAGGTTGCAATAACAAATGTGATTATTCTCTATTTTAGGAATTATTTATTTGCCACTTTTGAGAATTATTCAAAATTTCACAAAAAGTGAAGAGGCATTTATACACTTCATATTTGCTTTTGGAAATTATTCACTTCCTAATTAATATTTTATCTTTTAAACCAAAAATATGAAGGCTATGGAATGTGCATTATATATTGATAACATGTGCATGTTTTATATTAGAACTTCTAACATATTAAGTTTGTAGAAGTCACACAGGTAGAAGTGCTTCATAATTAACCTTCCATTTTTTAATAATAAAAAAGGTAAGTTGGGGAGGTCTAAATTGCAGAAGTTAATTTATAGAATGAAACGTTTCATAATAAATTATCCATTTTTAAACTTAAAGATGGTAGGACGGAGAGCTATTGATTGTATAAGTCAATAGTTCAACATAATTTAATTCAAGCACAATGTATTTACATGAAGAGCATAATAAGGCTATGTGATATGCATATTAAGGTTATATGATGTGCATATTAATGTCACGTGACATGCATATTAAAAATAAAGATGTGCATCATACATTCATAATATCTACATAACTTAAATTAGAAGTGCATAGTTATAAAATATATCGACGTTGCATTTTAGCATTTCATATGTCGCATTATATCATCATGACATGTGCATTTTAAAAGTCCGTACATTACACTTAAGTAAGATGATATGTGCTCTTTAATAGTTCATTCTGCATCTTATCGTTATGACATTTGCATTTTTTGTTCACATGTTGCATATTATTATTATGAAATGTGCATTTTGGAAGTTTGTATATTGCACTTTTGTAAGATGCATAGTTTGTATTAACTTCTAACATATTAAATTTGTAAGAAGTGAACACATGTAAAAGTATATGCATATTAAAGTTACAGAATGTGCATAATAAGATTAATGGATGTGCATATTATGGTTACGAGATATGCATTATATATTTATAATAATTTCATAACTTAAATTAGAACTATATAGTCATAAATATGTCAAAACTGCGTTATAGTAGTTCACATCTCGCATTTTATCATTATAACATGTGCATTTTAGAAGTTTGTGTATTGCACTCTATTCGAAAGTTATGTGCACTTTAAATGTTCATACTGCATCTTAACTTTGTGACATCTGTGTTTTAGGAGCTCATATGCATGTTGCATTTTATCATCATTATGACTTGTGCATTTTAGAAGTCGTATATTGACTATAGTCAGATGAGCTATCATTTTCACTTTAGAAGTTACTGCATCTTATCGTTTTAGCATCTGCATTGTATAGTCAACTAACATGCATACTAAATTCATGAGGTTACATAATGCATAATACATGATCAACGTAAGAACACCATAACTATTTCAGGCAGATTAAGCCAGTAGAACTTAAACATTTTTTATTTTGTATAAATACGAATTTGATGAATTTCATCAAGTAAAAAATAAAAAAACATTAAAATATCATTAATCTCATAAAAAACAAAAACAAAGATTTTCTAAAATGCAAAATTTCATGGGGATGAAGAAGGAGTAGGAGATGGAGATAAATTAAAAAAGAATTCACAAAACTAGGGTTTAATATCGGAATCCATGACCTACCCTGTTAACAAAAAACAAAGATTTTGTAAAATGCAAAATTTCACGAGGGCCAAGAAGGAGCAGGAGATGAAGAAGAAACAAAATTTTGAGATGGGAATGAACTAAAGCTTGATTATCGAAGAAAGAAGAAAAGAAAATAATATGTAATGAAGAAGCAGTTAAGGAAAGAGAACGTAAGAAGCAATTACAGAAAGAGAACGTGATTTTTTTCCAAAATTAGAGTAAACTAAAAAGACTTAAAGACCCTCAATTGGTTATGTTAAACAGCCGCATCTGAATAAGTTAAACAGCCGCATCACGTAAGATCAAATGGAATGGATGGCTAGGATTAGGTTTGTAGGTTAGCATATTAAGATGAGTTTGCATTTGATCTCTACTCTCTCTCTCTCTCTCTCTCTCTCTCTCTCTCTATATATATATATATATATATATATATATATATATATATATATATATATATATATATATATATGGGTGGGATCACATACAAACTAGTCCTCCCATGCTAACCTACAAACTGTCACAAACTGTGCATCTTTACATTATTTGTACTGCATATTGAAGTTCAATGTGTTGCATATTATTTGTATTGCATATTGAAATTCAAAGTGTTGCATATTATTTGTATTGCATATTGAAATTCACAGTGTGCATCTTTACAGTATTTGTATTGCATATTGAAGTTCAAAGTGTTGCATAGTATTGAGTTTGTAGGTTAGTATTTTAAGCATGGTTTGTATTTGATCTCTACAAAGAAGTCTTATATTAATGTAAAAGATGTGAACGATTTCTGTGCATTCGATTCGAGATCTCATGATTCTAATAGTTCCAACAACAGATATTACCCCCAATAGGACTAAAGTTTACCTAAAAAACAAAAATAGGACTATTACTTGTTAAATTTTTTCCAAGTAGGACTAAACATTGATTTCTTTCCTAAATACCCCTAAGGGTATTAATTCATATTGCAATATCTTAATTCATAATAAAATATTAAAATATAATAAAGAATCATAAAAAAATTATAAAAAATTATTAAAATATTTGTAAACAAAATAATGTTTTTTAAATTATTTTTAAAAATAAATTAATATAAAATATTAAAAACTAATAAAAAATATATGGATATCTTTCCCACTGCCTCCCAGCACCACCACCTCGGTCGGTGAAAATTCTGCCATTTTTGTAAAAAAATATCATTTTTTTAAAATGCCAAGAAAATGACATTATTACTCTTCATAATGCCAAAATTTTCATTGGATGTGCCATTATTATGGAACTACTAAAAATGTTGGCAGAGTTCGAACCAGTGATGGGAGATGGTGGTGTTGGGGTGGAAGAGGCGGCGGTATTTTTTTTTACGTTATTTTTTTAATTTGTTTTAATTCTTTAAATTAAATATTATTATCACATTTTTATTATTTTTTTACTAGTTATAATATCTTTTTACGATTTTCATTATTTTTTAATGATTTTATTATTAATTAAAGCATTTCAAAAGCTACAAGGGTATATTTGTCTAAATACACATAAACAGTCCTACTGTGGGGGATTTAAAAGATGTAGCCCTGTTTGTGCTCTTTGGTCACTTTTTTGTCATATTTAGATAATTCACACTTCCAACAATGCAATAAATTATGTTAAAAGTGTGATGGCATTTTCGTAAATTAGCGATCATTTTTTGCCACCCCGAAAAGTGGAGTATTGGGGGCTTAAATGCAGTGTTATGAATTGAAGTAAATGCGAAAATTTCGCACTTTTCATGTTAAATACTCTTTAATTTGAATCTCTTCTTTCTTTCTCTCATACACACATATGGTCTCGTTCCGGTAACATGCACTAGTAGAAAAAGTGTCTATTGTATCATTCATTCTGTAGCACCGTAGAAGTTGCTACAATGTATTATCAATTGTAACATTATTGTACAAAAATGGTACAATAAAATGATAAATTGATATAATACATCTATTGTAACACCAATCGGATGCAACATACTAAAAATGCTACATTTGATTTATTGTGACACTTTTGGCACATATTACGACATTTTGCATATGCTACAAAAGATATACTTTGTTGTAGTGATGATACATACATCTGAATCCTCATTCTTCACCTAAGATTTATTTTTATTTGATCAGTTATGTGTACCTATGTGAAAATATATGTTGAAGTATTTCCCTCACAAGAAAAAATAAATATGAACAGTTAAACGATTATATAAGATCTCAGACTATTATAAATATCAAGTTGATCTCTTACGACAAACATTGTGTCATAACATAGTATAAAATCAAATGACTTTGTGTCTCCTTCACAATGTTTGGACCGCTAAGTTTTATGCATTAATGATTGTGAAAATGAAGTGCAAGTCCAAACTGCCCAATATATTCTAAAAAAGTAAATAAGTAGT